ACTAGAGAGTATGTATCAAAGTAGTCAAGACCTTCTCGTTGTCCCTTTGAGTACAAGTCTTGCCTTAAATTTATCAATAGTGCCATCATCCTCCATTTTCCTCTTAAAGATCCATTTAGAACCCAAAGGTTTATTTCCAGGAGGAAGATCAACCAATTCCCATGTATGGTTGTTCAATATGGATTCTATTTCACTATTGACTGCCTCTTTCCAAAATAATGATTCCGAAAAAGACATCGCTTCTTTAAATGTTCGAGGCTCATTTTCCAATAAGAAAGTTACAAAATCTGGTCCAAATGAAGTAGACGTTCTTTGACGTTTACTACGTCTCAGATCCCCCTGATTAATGTACTTTCTTTTGTTTCTTCCCGATGTCGTTTATATCCTTCACCAATCGACTCACATTCCTTTTTATACGGATATATATATTTTCAAAGAACTCAGCATTATCTGATTCTATTATCATATTATTATGAATGTCGGGATTTTCTGATTTATGAACCAGATATCGATATGCTTTACTATTGGTCGCATATCCTATGAAAACACAATTAACAGTTTTTGGTCCTATTTTTACCCTTTTGGGTTTAGGAACTTGCACTTTTGCCAAACACCCCCACACTTTAAAATAATTCAAGTTGGGATTTCTTCCTTTCCATTTTTCATATGGAATGGATTGTGTTTTGCTATGGGGTATTCGATTTAGTATTCGGTTAGCCGTAAGAATGGCTTCCCCCCCACAAGTTCTGTGGCAAACCAGAACTTATCAATAGTGCGTTCATCATCTCCTTTAATGAATGATTCTTTCTTTCTGCAATCCCATTAGATTGGGGCGTGTAAAGGGCCGTTGTTTGATGAATAATTCCATATTCTAAACATATTTGTTCAAAAGGAGATTCATATTCACCACCCCTATCACTTCTTATCATTTTGATTTTCTTGTTAAATTGCGTTTCAACTTCATTTTTGTATTGCTTGAATGTGTCTATTGCTTCATCTTTACTATTAAGTAAGTAAATATAGCAATATCTAGTACTATCGTCAATAAAAGTTATGAAATACTTCTTTCCACCGCGAGATGGTATTGACTTCATATCGCAAATATCTGTGTGAATTAAGTCTAAAGGATCTGAATTCCTTTCAACTGACTTATAAGGATGTTTAACATACTTAGATTCCACACATATTTGACATTTAGATTTATCGCATTCAAACTTAGGAAATACTTCCAAGTTAATCATTTTCCGCAAGGTTTTATAATTGACATGACCCCAACGTATATGCCATAATTCATTTGACTCAAGTAAGTAAGACGAAGCTGAAATTTTATTATTATTTTCAACAACCATTACATTCAGCTTGAAAAGGCCCTCAGTGAGGTAACCTTTTCCTACAAACATTTCGTTCTTACTTATTACAACCTTATCGGAAATAAAAATACATTTAAAACCATTCTTAACAAGAAGTCCAGCAGAGACTAAATTCTTCCTAGTCTCGGGAACATGAAGGACGTTGTTCAAAGTCACCACCTTGCCAGAAGTCATCTTCAGAAAGATCTTCCCACATCCTTCAATCTTGCCAGTTGTAGCATTTCCCATAGAAAGAGTCTCTTCGGGTCCAACAGGAGCATATGTTGCAAAAGCTTCCCTAACAGCACAAACATGGCGAGTGGCTCCAGAATCAATCCACCACTCCTTAGGATTTCCCACCAGGTTGCATTCACAAGGCATGGCACATAAGTCATCAACATCTTTATGCTTTTCAACCATGTTTGCTTGACCCTTCTTCTTGTCTTTTTTTGGAGCACGACACTCTGTAGATTTGTGCCCAGCTTTCCCACAGTTGTAGCAATTTCCGTTGAACCGCTTCTTGCTTGGGTTGCTTTTTGGTCCAGAAGCCTGCTTCCCCTTTCTCTTATTTTGAGAAGTATCCTCAACAATGCGCTCCCATTATTGTTGAGTTTCCACAACCTCTCTTTTCAGCAGCTTTGTTGTCCCCTTCGATTCTCAACCAAACAATGAGATCTTCAAGGGACATCTCCTTGCGTTTGTGTTTCAAGTAGTTTTTGAAGTCCTTCCACAAAGGAGGCAACTTCTCAATCATCGCTGCTACTTTGAATGCTTCATTGATGAGAAGACCTTCAATGAAAATTCTGTTAGTAAAAATACTAAGATTACTACTTTCAACATCAGTATTAATTTGATTTATACTTTCAACAAGGAGATCGTGAATAATCACTTGCAATTCCTGGACTTGGGTAATAACAGACTTGCTATCTACCATTTTATAGTCCAAAAACTTAGCGCCAACGAATTTCTTCAACCGGGCATCTTCAGTTTTGTATTTCTTTTCAAGCGCAGTCCACAATTCTTTTGATGTCTCCACGCCACTCAGACATTATACAGATCGTCCTCCAGTCCGCTCTTGCACAAAAAATTAGAATGCTTCCACGCCTAAATCACGAGAAAACGTTCATCCTTTGGAGTTTCTTCGGGCAGAACAGGAACATCTTCCTTGATGAACTTCTACAGACTAAAAGTAGTCAAGTAGAAGAACATCTTCTGCTGCCACTGCTTGAAATCTAACCTAGGAAATTTTTCGGGTTTCTCCGCCGGTGCCAACGCTAGCGTTCGGCTTGTTGATGCACTGGCAGTCACCATTGAAACAACTTGGTTCACATTATCATTAGTCATTTCTGTAAAAGAATGACACAAACAAACGTTAAACTCACGTAGATTTTAATCTCCAACGGAGTAGAAAACCACGAAGGTTTTAATCTCCAGAATAGTGAATAAACACAAATACAGAATACAAAAAGTTAAATTCCTTAAGCTTGTTAGTAAACTGTATTTGTAAAATAATTCTAGAAAATATAAAATAACATAAACAGAAATATAGACGAAACAAAAATTAATTCGAGCCTACTGAATTCACAGTGTTTCCTTAAGGAATTTAATCCCCTCCTAGTACCCAAGGTTTTGGATTATTTTCTCCCAGGATAGAACGAATTATACACTGGTGTAGTGGTACTTCATACCCCAGTGTTTCAGCGAATACAAAGTTCGGTAGCAAATCACACTTACTGTTGCTTTCTTTGAAGTTAAAACAATGTAGAAGAAGGAGGAGAAAGTCAGAAATTCGTATGAAAAATTTGAGAGGATGGACTTGTATTTATAGTCAATGTTGGGCTGAAATCTGAAGAGGTGAAACTCTTCAGAATGGCTGTTTATGCAAAACAACCATAGCATAAATGCCATAACATAAATGGCTATTTACTCAACAATAAAGAGGAAAAATTGAAGAGGGTAGTTAATTTTCTGTTACAAAAATAGAAAACGAAAAAATGGAAACGGTTGGATTTTAATATAATATTCTTGGATTTAATATTAATATTTTATTATTAAAATGGATATTTTATAATATTTTTTGTTAATATTTACTATTAACAAACAAATTTGGTCCAAAAAATTAATCAATCAATCATTTGACCAAATCCAAATCCGAATCCGAATCCGAATCCGAAGCCGAAGCCGAGCCGAGCGACGATGACGACGACGACGACGACGCGAGGCTTGCCTTCTTCTCAACTCTTTAAGAGCTAGAAGAAGAACAATTGCTTATATACCCATTAAAAACCTCTTCCTCTTCCAATAAGGGACAATGTCCCTTCATCAAGGAGGGAATCTCAAATGAAACTCAAATATTTTATTTTTCCCTGCATTTCCCATTCACCCTCTTTTAAGCATTAATATACTTAAAAACCCTCTTTTAAGCATTAATAAAAACACGTGATTTTCAAATTAATTAGCCAAATATAAAATGCTTCTCACCAAAAATACTTTTTCTGAAAAATACTTTTCAAAATAAGTTAATTTTAGAAATATGGCCAAACAAGCTATTATATTATACCTACATAATTGACAAGTTTGTTTTGACATAGTAAGGTATCGTTTGGTAGGGTACATAAGAGTAGTACTAAATATGGTGTATTAGTAATGCTAAGATTATTTCTTATTGATTGTTTGGTTTGGTGTATTAAAATAACATGCATTGCATAATTTTTTTTAAAAATATTTGCTTATAAATATATCCTCCATATGCTTTAGTTTTGTACTTGGAAAAGGTTTTGAAAGGACAGTAATGCCTTTATACATACTTACCCAATATTAAAAATCAAGGTATTGCTAATGTCATTGTTTGCTATTGATAAGAATAGTAATCGAATGTATAACCAATGCAAGTATTAATTATATATAGGTTGAAAAGTACTATCAGATAAAAAATTACTAATAATAAAATTAATATATATATATATATATATATATATATATATTATTTTCTCTAAAATATCCTACCAAACAACCCCTAAGCGTATAAAGTTGTAAACAGTTCACGTAAAACAATACATGAAAAATAACTAAATGAATTACTTTTATATCCGATCTAGAATCATCTATGCTTACGTGTCATAATACTTTGAACAGATGTTAAATTTACCCCTCTATTAATTCCTTTTTGGTAATAGTTTAATAAACCGTTTGGCCAAGGTGAAAAAATCAGCTTATTTTGGGAAACGTTTTTTTTCAAAAGTATCTTTTCAAAAGCACTTTTGGTGAGAAGCAGTGTATTTGGCTAATTAATTTAAAAATTACTTCTAAGTAGCAATTAATATTTCGTCTTGAAAAAAGCTACTTCCCCCGTTCCAATTTATGTGAACCTGTTTGACTGGATACGGATTTTAAGAAAAAATGAAGACTTTTAGAATTTGTGGTCCTAAACAAGTCACAAAGGGGCCCAGAATATTTATGTGGTTATAAAACCATCTCATTAAGGATAGAATTGTAAGTTTAAGCTAAATTGTTACCAAATTTAAAAATGGATCATTCTTTTTGGAACGGACCAAAAATAAAATAGATTCACATAAAGTAGAACACATGAGTACTTTTAAAAAAAATACTTCTACAGAGCCATTAGTGTTACTTTTTTATGATTCTCGAAAATTGGTTGCTTCTCGAACACTTTTTTCCTCGTTAAAAAAAATTGCTTTTCAACTTGAAGAACAAAAGAGACATAAAATTATCTCCATTAAGATGAAATACAAATGCATGATTTGCTAATGGTATGTTGTGAATCCATAAGTATAACTGTTGATAAAAATCAAAACATTTTTGACCTTTTCCCCCCTTTTATATCAGGTGGAACATGTTTTGGAGGGAAAAGGCGAGGAGTGGCTATAAATCAGGATTCAGGAACGACCCAGAAGGAGTATTACATAAGAAGCTATCAGTTGATTTGTGATTTGATCTACAACTTGATCTCCTCACTGGTGATGAGAGGTATGTGGAATATTGAAGGTTAACACTTTGTGCAAACAAACATTTGAGGTGCGTTTCTGTATGATTTGATTGGTGAAATCTGCAAAAGAGATGAATTGCTCAGTGTTATTACTCCGATTATAAACAGGGAAAGCCTTCCCATGTTGACATTCTAAATGTCCGTATCATTGATTTAAGAAAAAGACTTTCTTTTCTTAAAAAAGTCAAATAAAACATTGTGCATTTGTAAGGACAACAATAAATATGAACGAAGCATATCTGCAAATTCAGGTAGGAGCAATAGCATTGCTGACATTCAGATTAGGTACAAATGTCAACTACAGTATTTTTGTAAATAGCTTCATTAGTACTACAATGGCAGGAACAACCTCATCTACCCAGGGGCGGATTTAGGGGGGCGGAAGGGTGTTCACCCGACCCCCCTTCGCCGAAAAATTACACTATATATGTAAGGTAAAATCTGTTTTTACCTCAATATATTATGTTTTGAATCCCCCTTGACACAGCCCAAAAACATAGCTTACTGGTTAAGGGGGTTCAAAACCTTTATAAGATCATTGGTTCTATTCCCATTAGCTGCAACGTTGCTAATTTTTTCTTTTGAACCCCCTTGGAGGCAATCCTGTCTCTGCCACTGCATCTACCTCGAGAAATATACAAACCATTTGCCTATATGGATGACATATCTAATAAGTTCTTGGATGTGATGGTGTCGTTGGACAATCATTAGAGGAGGTGTGCCAATGAGAGTTTAATGATGTCTGCAATAAAGACAGATGGCCTACGCGCTAAGCACTTTTTTCTTTTGTGTTCAGGCAAATATTTTTCCGGTATAATTTCTTTAGTTTTTACTCAAAAGTATAAAACTTTCTTGCCACCTTGAAGGTGTCTTGGCTTTTTGAAGCAAGCTACCACATATATCCGGATCACCACAAGACATCAACAACTTATACTTCTTTCTTTATTTTTTGTCACTCAAAAATAATTTTTTGATAATATTGATATAATATTTTGAAAAATTTGTATTTATTGATATGGGTACATGCGTAACGCGCGTGTCTAGAGACTAGTAGATAGAAAAGAGCTTCAAAACCTGCATAACAAAAATTCCAGAGAACATCCTTTTGCGAACTTCTCTTCTTTCTGTCTAACATATATATAGATGTTAGATAGAGAACAATTAAGCTCTCAAACCGCCTAGCACTAAGACAGCTTGAAAACTCCAGATAACGTCCTTCTGCAGAGCTTATTTGATCTTTCTTTTGTGATTAAAATATAAGTCATACACAGCCTGAGCAGTTTGTTAATATATGGAAAAATATTTGATCAAGGATTTCCTTTTGTTCTATTGGTCCTTTTTATGCACAAAATACCATTTCTAATTCATAATTAGATCACAAGTGACATATTTCATTCTCTGGGTTCCCCAGTTGTTGTTGTTGTCAATAGCTAAACGAGCTAAATGCCTTATCCCTCCTTTCCCTGCTTCATTTAATATACAGCCACCCAAATGTAGCTTAAATGCAGCCTTCAGTTAGCGGCAATGCCTAAGGAATATATGTGGCACATGTTACTATTTCAGAGATCAACTCAAACCAGCTGTCAAGTAGTAGTAATTGAGAACAGTTTAGTCCAGTACAAATATTGTCCTCAATATTGGTGCATACTGCATACCTAAAATGGAAAAGCCTGACTAAGCTTGGTGCCTGTTACAGTTGTTAGATACTTGAAGCAAATTCATAGCACGCAACCTTACTATTTAATGTGCATAGGGTGATCAGATGTAGCGCCTTTGCCACGTCCATCTTGACATATCGTATAAGCTCTACGAGTGAGTTTGTTCTCACTTCTAATGAAATTTTCTGGTCTAACGTAATGCTAAGTTGTGAAATGGCATACTTGAAAATAAAATCTCTTTGTTAAGAAAGCAGGAAAGAAACAAGAAATAGGGAACCTTTCATAATTCTTTTTTGTTTATAAAATTTGAGCATCAGTGATACGGTGAGCTTCCTATTTTTTGTACAATTATCTGACGTTGTAAACTTAATAACCAACCTATTGTTCTCTACGTTTAGTAGATGCAATGCAATGGTTTTGTCATAAACTTTGTGTCATATTATGGTTATATTGCCAACAGGCTTCTGCAGCCGGTTTCTGCTTGCTATACTGCTTGTTGTTCTTGTGTTCTGAGTTCCGTGAGGAGCTAGAGACTTGGGTACCTTTACAGACTACAACATTCAGGACGAGAACGAAGAAATAAAAGGTATCACTCACAAGCTCAATAGTTCAATTAATGCTTCGACTGTATGCAAGTCCATTATCATGTTCTGTCAACTTGCACTTGAGGATTATTACTTTTTCCTTTGTGCTGCATTTTTTAAAGTCAATTTAAAGCTTACGAGCAAGTAAAATGAGTATCACATCAAATCAATATCAATACAAAGATGTTCTTCGGACTAATTCTGAGCCTTGAATGAACTGCATTCTAGATGTAATGAACCAGCCAAAAGGTTTTCTTATGGTTTGATGGCCAAAGCTTGACAATCAACTTCGTAAATAATTAGTCAAGCTACCTTGGTAAGGAAGTGTTTGTAGCTTAGTCTAGTGACTCTGATCATCAATGTAGCCAGCTTTCTTTTTAATTGCTCAACTTCATTAGAGGATTTAAGTTGAGCAATGTCATCTGAGAATTTTTGTTGTCTCACTAACACAGTAAAGAAAAACTGAAGTCTCAAAATAAATACACCTGGACAGACAGAACACACCATAGAGTTGGAATTTACTCTTTTGGTATTGCAAAATTTGATGGATTAGGCTAAAGGTTGAAAGTACGAAAGCGTGCTACGGCGCGTTGACATATAAGCAATAGGTGCATGCCAACTTTGATTTGAACTCGAACTATATATGTGTGTCAAACGTTTTAAGAAAAATTTAGGTATATTTAATAAGCTATTTTAAACCCTGATTCACTTAGTTTATATCGGAGTAGTTGTCAGTCCCTTAGGATGTGGAATCTTGGCCCATTTAATCCTAAGACTTGGAATATTACTTTCTCAGTGTTTGCTAGTGTTTTAATCTCAGCTCATAGATGAGCTTAATCCTTTTAATGGAGTGACATGGTAGTCAACCTCAACTTGCTTAGGATTGAGGTGCGATAGTAGTTGTAATCTTAACTCACAGGACGTGGCTCGATGCTATTGTTTGTCATTACATTAGCTTTTGCTCAGCATGGGCTATAATGGGTTACTAGTGACTTCTGGACCTTAACATATTATGGCCCAGGAACTAGTGCTACTTTACTTCCTCATCTTATTTTAGTCGTCTTCCTAGCTCAGTAATTGCAACCATATTCAGTATGCGACAAACTAGTTACCCTTCAATTGGCACCCAAGATAGCGATAAAGGAAAAAGAAAACGCTAACTTCCATAGAAAAACTAAAGATGCAAATGTTGTGTTTAATGATAAGACATAGAGCAGTTTGCTTGTTACATACTATCAAAATTCTGCCAATGAAACAGTAGGTTTCCACATTTGCTGAGCTGAGAGTGCACCAGCATCAATGGCGGAAGCTTCATACTTTGAGATTAATGGTAGTCGAAATAGAAGAAGGAGAAAAAGGCCAGATGAACATTCCGGAAGAAAGAGAGATTCTTCTCTATTGAATTGAATTACACGACTAAGTGGAAGTCCTCCCACTATATACAAGAGTGTAAAGAGAAAGCTAACTAACTAAAACAAACTGACAACTGTCACTACTCCTAACTAACTGTACTTAACCACTAAGCTAACTAACTAACTCTAACAAATCTAATATAGCTGATTATGTAGGCTAATGGAAAATAATTAATCTTAACACCCCCTCAAGTTGGAGGTGTTGAAAACACAACAAACTTGCCCAATGTGGCACTATGTTTGATTCCCGTTAAGGCTTTAGTCAAAATATCTGCCAGTTGACTGTCTGTTCCAATGTGGTGGAGTGAAATTAGTCCTGCTTGTAATTGGCCGCGCACAAAGTGACAGTCCACTTCTATGTGTTTGGTTCTTCCGTGGAAGACTGGATTCTTGGCAATGTGAAGTGCAAATTGACTGTCACAGAACACTGAAATAGGCACTGGAAAAGGGACATCCAGTTCTTCAAACAGCCTGCTCAACCATACCAGTTCCCCCACTACTTTCTTCAAAGCCCTGTACTCTGCTTCTGCAGAAGATAGTGATGTAGTTTCCTGTTTCTTGGACTTCCAACTAACAGGGCTATTACCCAGAAGCACCAAATAGCCTGTGATGGATCTCCTGGAATCTGGACAACTTGCCCAATCAGAGTCACTATATGCCTTGACTGTGCATTCTCTATCCTTAGACATGAAGATTCCCAGAGTGGGATCACTTTTTAGATATCTAAGCAGATGGAAAGCTGCCTTTAAATGAGCTTCCCTGGGCTCTTGCATGAATTGACTTAAGTGTTGAACACTATATGCAATGTCCAGTCTGGTGTTAGTGAGGAAATTTAACTTACCTACCAGTTTCCTGTAGTAAGTAGAATCTTGTAGGATGGTACCTTCTTTGGCTTTAAGCTTTATTGTGGGATCTAAGGGGGAAGAACAAGGCTTGTAATCTAAGCAGTTATACTCCTTCAACATGTCCAGCACAAATTTCCTTTGAGAAATTATTACACCATCATCTTTGTACATCACTTCCACCCCTAGAAAGTAGTGTAGTTGCCCCAGGTTTTTTATCTTAAACTGTTCATGTAGGTAGTTCTTCAATTGTGTGATCTCTTTTTGATCAGTTCCAGTAAGTAGTACATCATCCACATATACTGCAATATATACCAAGGAATTTCCACTTTTCTTATAAAAGAGTGAGTAGTCATTCATGGAGTGTGTGTATCCTTTAGAGCACAAAGCCTCAGTCAGCTTTGCATACCACTGTCGACTGGCTTGCTTTAAACCATATAGAGACTTGTATAATTTGCATGCCAGTCCAGGTTTATCCACAATAAGTCCAGGTGGAATCTGCATATATACTTCCTCATTAAGGTCTCCATGGAGGAAGGCATTGTTTACATCTAGCTGAGATATACACCACCCCTTCTTCACTGCTGTGGCTATTAATGCCCTCACTGTTGTCATCTTCACCACTTGGGAGAATGTCTCTATGTAGTCAATTCCTGCCTGTTGTGTGTAGCCTTTCACAACCAATCTGGCCTTGAACCTTTCTATACTGCCATCAGCTTTATGCTTCACTTTGTAAACCCACTTGTATCCTATTGCTTGCTTCCCTGGTGGAAGGGCTACCAGGTCCCAAGTGTGGTTGGAATATAAAGCCTCAAATTCCTGTGTCATTGCAGCTTGCCATGCAGGATCAATAACTGCTTCTTCATATGATGATGGTTCCCTGTCATGACAAACATTTCTCATAAACTTGACTGTTAAGAGTTAATAGATCAGAGGCAACATGATGGTTCATAGAAAACAATGCATTAAGGGAGTTAGGATTTGGCTTAAGTTTAGGTAGGGAATGCATATAGTCTTGCAAATAACTAGGTGTCTTGTGTGTTCTTGAGGACTGTCTCAGCTGCATGGGTTCTGTATGAGGTTGTTCAATATGGTCTTGTGATGAAAATTGTATTGGAGAATTATGCACTATGGAGGGTGATGAGGAGTGATCATGAGTAGGTGACATGAGATTAGTTGTGTTGTCAATATTACTCCTTTGAGCACTCAAGTATTCAGATGTTTGTTGTGTAATGTTTGTACTATCAGAAGGTTCCTCACATAGAGGTTCAATAAAAGGAATTGAATGAAGGACACATGATTGGGAAGATATATTCATGTTGGTTGCAAATGGAAAGATAGATTCATTGAAAACTACATCTCTGGAGACAATGATCTTTCTAGTGGCTAGAGACTTAGGACCTTGTATCCTTTTGTGTTGAAGGGATAGCCAACAAATACATGTAGTGTTGTTTTGGGTTCAAATTTGTCTCTGTGATGTCTAGGTACAGTGGGATAGCACAGGCAGCCAAAACTTTTTAGGTGAGAGTACTTTGGCTTTCTTTTGTACAACAATTCATATGGATTTTGACCATTAATAGAAGTGGAAGGGAGTCTGTTTATAATGAAGGTTGCACAAAGAATGCATTCACCCCAATACCTTAGGGGCAGCTTAGATTGGAAGAGGAGAGCTCTAGTAGTTTCAAGGAGGTACTTGTGCTTTCTTTCCACTACACCATTCTGTTGTGGAGTGTAGGAGCAAGTTCTTTGATGTATGATACCTTTGGATTGAAATAACATGTTTGTTTCTGCGTTAGTGAACTCTAGTCCATTGTCTGTTCTCATAGCTTTGACATTCACTCCAAACTGGTTTTCCACCAGACTAATGAATCCCTTAAGTACTTGATGGGCATTACTCTTACTGGATAGGAGATGAGTCCAAGTGGACCTACTGAAGTCATCCACAATGGTCATGAAATATTTGTACTTATCATGTGTGGGCACATGATATGGTCCCCATAAGTCAACATGTAGGAGCTCAAAAATCTTATTGGTTGTGTTGGTTCTCTGAGGAAATGGAAGTCTTTCCTGCCTGGCCATTAGGCAAATGGTGCAATTAAAAGGTTGTTTGGAAGAAAAGGTTACAGGAATGGCGGAGATATTTTTCATTTTTACAAAAGGAATATGTCCAAGCTTGTTATGCCGCAGAACATCTACACTATCTCCAATACACAGATGAGAAAATGCACTAGAAGAATTAGATGATGAATTCACAGAAAGAAATTGTTCTTCAATACCTGCACTTGAACTATTTACAATTGAGGATGAAAGAACACACTTATTGACATGAGATGATGTATCTACATGAGAATGAAATTGACATTGTGTGTTACAAGTGCAGTGAGTGACAGGGATGGACAAGAAATCTGTGGCATTAGCTCCAGAACTTGCCCTATTGTTCTTCAAACACCTTGGGCATAAGATGTAAAGTCCATCTTTTACCCTACCAATCACCAGAGGCCTCTTCATTGAAGGGGCCTACAGTATACAACAGTGCTTAATGAAGGCAACAAGGCAACTAAGGTAAGAGGTTAAAGAGTGAACGAATATTAGGTTGTATCTAAAAGAAAGAACAAACATTACCCTATTCAGAGTGATCTTAGGAGTAAGTACAACATTACCAATCTCAGTCACCTTCACTTTGTAACCATTTGGGAGAATGACAAGTATAGGATAGGGTAGAGTTACTATATTGGTTAATAAGGATCTATTAAAAGTCATATTATTTGATGCCCCTGAATCTATAATCCATGAGTCAGCCTTGTTTTTGAAACATTCACATGAGAGTTTCCCAAAATCAATAGAGGAGGTGCAGGCTATGAACGTGCAAAGTTTACTGATGAAGTGTTAGCATTGTCTGAGTTGTCTCTTCCTCTTGATTGGAATTGCTGCAGCAGATTCAAGTTGACTGTATTTTTCCTTTGTGAGACTCACATTTTGAGTATTGCAGTTCTCATCACCAGTACGCTGAGTATCTGTAGCTGCTACATGTGCATTAGCCATTCCTCTATTTCCCTTATTGAACTTGGTACTTTGGTTCACACCAGAATTATTCCCATAGTTATGGTTTTGTCTTGGGTTTTGATTGAAACTGGAAGCTTGATTGTTACCTAGATTAGGATTCTGATTTTGATTGAAGCCTTGAGGATAACCATGAAGTTTGTAGCACTTCTCTTTTGTGTGTCCTGGCCTTTTGAGTAATCACAGAAGGGTCTGTTTCTATAGTTGTGAGAGTTATTAGGAGAGTAATTTGTCTTAAACGATGTTGTCCTGCTTGTGTTGATGTTTAGGGCTGATGACTCGAGAGCTAAGTGGTTATGAGGCTTAATTTCTCTCTTGTCTTTCCTCTTGGATCAGCAGTGAGAAAGCTTGTGCAATTATGGGACGAGGATTCTTCATAAGGATGCTGCCTCGGACCACAATGTAGGTCTCATTTAGTCCTATAAGGAACTGTATTAGCCTTCTGTCCTGTTCTGCTTTGTGCATACTTTCCCTTGCCCCACATGTGCAATTACAGGTGCAATGAGATCTAGCAATCAGAGTATTAAGTTCTTCCCATAGCCTTTTCATTTTTGTATAGTGGCCAGTGATGTCCAGAGCTCCTTGGGACAAATCATTAATCTCCTTTTGAATCTGGTAAAGTTTTGTTCCATTTGTTTGATCATATCGATCTTCAAGTTCTTTCCACAACTCGATTGCATCTGTCACATACTCAACACTATCTGCAATTTCCTTTGCCAAGGAATTCAAAATCCATGAAGTCACCATATCATCACATCTCTCCCACAATTGATAGCTTGAGGAGTCTGGATCAGGCCTCTTACAATCCCCATTAATGAAGCTTAGTTTATTTTTTACTGATAGGGCTCTCATCACACCTCTTCTCCATGAGTGATAATCAAATCCATCAAATGAAACAGGAACTAGTGCTATTCCCGGATTATCGGAGGTATGCATGTAAAAAGGAATACTAGTGTCAACAATTGGCTGATTAGGAGATTCAGCCATGGTCGGCGTAGATTGTTCATCACCTCCGATAGCGGCCATCTCTTACAAAGTGTGAAATTCAGCTAACTAACCAACAAAAAATTTCTAACGATAGATCTAGAATTCTGACAGAGATTTAAGAGGTATGAGTTGAAATCGATGAGAACAAAACTGCATGCGTATGATCAAAACAAAATCGAGGATGATCAATCTAGATTTAACAGATATGAGAGAATGAATCAGAACTTCTGACCTTGCTCTGATACCATATCAAAATTCTGCTAATGAAACAGTTGGTTTCCACATTTGCTGAGCTGAGAGTGCACCAGCATCAATGGCGGAAGCTTCATACTTTGAGATCAATAGTAGTCGAAATAGAAGAAGGAGAAAATGGCCAGATGAACATTCTGGAAGAAAGAGAGATTCTTTTCTATTGAATTGAATTACACGACTAAGTGGAAGTCCTCCCACTATACACAAGAGTGTAAAGACAAAGCTAATTAACTAAAACAAACTGACAACTGTCACTACTCCTAACTAATTGTACTTAACCACTAAGCTAACTAACTAACTCTAACAAATCTAATATAGCTGATTATGTAGGCTAATGGAAAATAATTAATCTTAACACATACTTTTAAACTAGACTTAACTTGAGCACGTTATATAAAATAAAAAATACGTGCGCGTGTGATGCATCTAAATTAGAATCAGTTGTAAGTGGTAAAGATCTGTGTCGGCAGTGTAAACTTTGTACCTTAACTAACAAAACGATGGTTAAGAAGCTTCCCTTAGGCTTTCCTGCTAATGTGGGCCTCAGAATCAAGATTAAAGCAGCGCATTTGCTGCCATTTTAAACAACTGCTCATTGGACAAGATTTTAGTAGGCTATGAATAGCCTCTGTTTTTTCTTTCAACCCGTGTTACATTAGTCTGAAGAAGAATTTTACTTTGATTTGATCATTGGTTGAGAACAAATTGATCCATTAAAACAACGTGTATGCATGTGTGTGTACACAATGCATACACACAGCCTTTCTTTTAAATATGTATTTAAACAACGATATTATCTACTTAAAATTTTCGATAAAACCACTTCCGGAGTTCAAGGTGAATTCAAGATTTGAGGTTTATGAATTTCCGTAACTACATTAAGTTAATATATAATGATTAGATTTATACTGAACTATATATATATATATATATATATATATATATATATTATAGAGTTTAGACTTTAGACAAACTATTGTGATTCATAGGTTACAATTTGAATCTGCCACATAGACACGATGTAGGATTCTCTAGTACAGCTTAGTGTTCAGCCACGTGACATGCTCACCAAAGTTGCATGTCGGGCATGTATTTTCATACTTCCTTCGAGCCACTTTAATTGATATTTTGGCTGTTTCCACACATATTATTGAATTTACATTTTAGCATTATATAACAATCAAAGTGATCATGTTAACCTTAATTAGTTCATTGAAACTATAAAAAATACTCATAGGTTCTTTATTTCAAGAACAACTTTGAAAGAAAAAGTTAATTCCTTTTGATGTTTGAAAAAATCATGTATTATGGATCACAAAAAAGAGACCAAAAAATTAATTGAAGTGCACCTGAGGGAGTAAAGGTACAAACATAACTTTAAATGTCACGTGTAACTATATAAAGATAATCATTTTCGAAAGTGAAACATCTTAGTGTTTGTATATTCTCATTCTTTTGACTCAACTATCAAATTAACAAAGTTTGATTAAGTGGATCATAAGCTCTTTGTTTTGCATCCGCAACATGGCTCATTTTGTTTTTTAAAAGAAAATCTTTCTGAATCTCATATTGCTATTAATTAGCAGTATCACATATATAATGCTTAAAACAATGGCAATAGGATTTTATGGACCCAAGATACATCTTGCATCTTCACTCAATTCCAGCTATTAGTTGACCATTTCAAATTTTCAGTGAGTCTCCCGATAGGCGGAACACATTTTCGTGGGCTCCAATGTACGATGAATGGTCATGAAATTAGGGACTATTTGTGCGCACATATTGCTTTTCACTTTTACCAAATTGTGAAGTGTCTTCACGGAACAAAGTTGAAGAGATACTTGCATTTCAATACTAATGGTTTCCCCAATATAGAGATGATCACGCCCAACTCTAGTCCTAAAAAGGATAAGCGGTCGCTGTAAATATAATCCAGTCTAAAAGTCCGGAGTCGAATCCCACAAAGAACTAAGGCTTAGCTATATCTGTTTAATATCACTAAGAAGATAAGTTTGAACAATTTTCTAAATTATAAAGATTGAGATTTATATTTCTAACTAATTAATTAGCAAATACTACAAAGCGGTAAAATTATCAACTAACAAGACAAAGGGTTGGAGACTAAATTAAGGAGGTCTAGAGTTATGATTTCCCCAATTGTCGGAATGTTACAGCTATGTTCCCTATAATTTCGCCGATGTATTGTCTACTGATTGTGAGCACTTTAGGTGCCGTAATTCTCTCCGAGCAACTATAATAATTTACTAGACATATTCTCTCGAACTACGCTAGTTGGCTTATCTAACCGCTCATTATGACCACGTCAAGGTTTTGTTATTTCTAAACCTGCCTTTAAACCCACTCTATTGATTTCTCACATACGTTAGGAGTGATGTTGTTCAACAACTACCTAAATATGTACTCTCTCTCGAGCAGTACACACTAAATAGGCATAGTCAATTGATGGCCATTCAATCAACAACAACAAACACATAGTTGAACAAATAGATAAATTCAAAGGCTAAATTATACTAAAACCTAACAAGAATTCATCCTACAAAAGGTTCTATCAAAACTCTAGATAACAAATTAGCTATTCATAATAGTATATAAAACTACAATACTAAAAGTCATAACCAATAATGAAAATAGGAAGAAGGAAGTGAAAAACTCGTAGAAGAATTCTCCGCCTTGCTCCTAGTGTGTTCTATACTCCTTAGGTCGAATCCCCAGTCTCCTTAGCCTCCTTAGGTCTAAATTATGTCAAAAGTATGTCAAAGGTCCTCAAAATACCATTTTTTTCATGTATATATACCAAGTATGGTCGGGCCCAAACAATTATACATTCTCCTACGTGAAAAAGGACACTTTTCCAGGTCAGGACGTCCTCGGCCGCGGATTGACCGCGGATTTGCATAGTGTTCTATCCGCGGCCGTGGAACACTTGTCTCGCATTTTTCACCCTGTTCTGTTTGGAATTTGGAAAAACGTAAAACATTAAAGTTGTAGCCCTTTGAATTAGCTTTCCAACCATATATTGTGGAGCCCAAATGGAGTTCTGAGCCAAAAAGTTATGTGCCTTTTACTAGACAGTGCGCAATATGCCTACTCGATTCTTTGTCCGTGCTTAACTATCATCCGTTGATCCCCGAACACGATCCCGACTTAATTCCTTGGGATTTTACTCAGACTTCAAAGCTCCAAATCACTTGAATTCATTTCATAACATCTACATAGCTCGGAATCACTCCTACAAGGCATAAAACACACAATTAGTGCAAAACACTACCGGTTAAAGCGCAAACTCAACTAAAGTGCAGTAAATTAGAGTATAATAATCGACTAAAATACATAATTATAGCCTATCATCAAGAGACTTAGGTGAAACAAGCTAGAGTGACTCTTTTTTCCCTAGACGAAGATAAGTATTAACGCTAGTGTTTAGTTCGAATCCTTCTGAGAATAAAATAACAAAAAAGGCATTTGTCCACACATATTACTATTTCAAAAGTTTGAAATAATATTTGGAATTCGCCTCATCCTTATTTGGTAAGTTGTTTTGGTGAATTTGCCTAGATACTTCTGTTTAACTAAAAATTGAGTAATTCGGTCAAAGCTTATTTTAAGAAGTACTCGTGCTATTGATAATAAAAAAAATTCTATATTTACTTAATGATAAGAAAGGAAATTAAATATGAGGTAGCAAAAAGAGCCAATAGTAAGCAAAAGAAAGTAATTGTATTTCAATAGTAATCAGGACGTGTCTGTAAATGATATTTCTTTCCCTTTTATAGGAGTCTATTAGTACAATGTATTTCCCCTTTTATGACCGGATCATTATGAGCATTAATGATATTAATGAGACGTTATAATTAGTAATCGTAATTACTTATGAAGATTCTGTAACGTACGAGATCATTCATGCTCATTAACTGATGATTCATGAATCGTTCCTTTTTAATGTCTTGAATCATTCCGTCGGTACCTCTTCAGGTAACCATTTAAACTTGAATGACCTTATCTTCTCCTCTCGTGGGTGATTTGCTCGTATCTATTACGACTCGTGCCTCTTTAATGCATCTTTCCAGTTGTCGCTTTCTTACTGATCCATGTGTCTTGTCATATCAGCCACTCATATAAATCCACGTGTAATATTTATTTTTACCAATACAGATAGTCCCCCCACTTGCCGAATATTCTGCAATTGAATATTTGGGAAGTGGTATGTATTTATGGCGGGAATTTTTACCGCCGTTTCCCATGTATCATTACGTCTGCTCCAGAACTAACGCGTTGTATGTCACCTCCATTTAATGCATGTGCCACGTGGCCTTCGTTAATTAGATCTGCGACTTTTTGAGTGAGTTCTAGGGCTTTTTTTGCGGCTGCATCAGTCATGAAGTGACTGCTTCATCATGACGTTTCCTTCATGATCTCCTTTACGTGACAGTTGCTTCTTCATATAAATACCCCCTTTGCCTTTGCTTTCACGAAAAACTTTATACTGTATTCTTTGTTCTCTATAATTCTCATTCTTCATCACGTTTTACTTTCATACAACTATGACTTCTTCAAATCTTGATCCCTGTAAAGTTGTTATAGTGGATGAACTCTCCCCTTCGTCTGCTCCTACTAGAAGTAGAAGAGGTGGCAGGTTACAAAGTTTAGGATCTATTTCTATCCGTGGTTCTTCTTCTCAACCTAGTACCACTACCCCGTCATCTTCTAGAACTTGGGCTTCTTCTTCACATAGATCTTCTGTTAGAAGTAGGGATTCTAGTGAACCA